TGCATGTGAAAGCTGGACAGTGAATGAGGAAGACCATAGAAGAATTGATGCTTTTGAGTTATGGTGTTGGAGAAGAATATTGAAAGTGCCATGGGTTGCCAAAAGAACCAATAGATCCCTTTTGGAAGAAGTGCAGCCAGAGTTCTCCTTGGAGGCTAGGATGGCCAAACTTCATCTCTCATACTTCAGACCTATTATCAGGAGGAACCAGTTGCTGGAGAAGGATATCATGTTTGGTAAGGTGGAGGGTCTGAGAAAAAAGAGGAAGACCCCCAATGAGATGGATTGGCCAAGTAGCAGTATCGATTGAGTCAAGCGTGGCAACAGTAGTGAGGTTGGCCCAGGATTGGGCAGTGTTTCTTTCTGTTGCGCACAGGGTCGCTATGAGTTGGTACCTACTGATGGCACCTAACAACAACAACATGTAGTTCTGAGTTTGGCAGCTCTGCCCTGAATCTGCTTTGCTGGTATTCTGTGGTATTACTGATGGCGAACCTCGCTGCACGTCTCCCCTAGCTGCCATCAAGCCCCGCCTCTCCACCACATACTTCTTAATCATTTTCTCACGTTGATTTTTCAGGAAGAGATTTTTAATATAATTTTAAAATATTTTTAAACAAAAAAAATTTCCAAGTTCTTATTCATATAAGAAAATACCATTCCTATATTTTAGAAATGAAATGCTAGTAAGTCTGTCCTTTCATGAAGAGAATTCTTATATTCAAGCATTTCCTTTCATATTTTAATTCTGGAATTTTATGAGGACCACTAATCATCTATATTGATACTTCCTGAGGTCTACGTTTCATATCTTGTCAACATTTACTTTACTCTTCAAACATGGAGGTTCTCTGCCAAGGGCTGCAGCAGGCAAATTCAAATATTGTTCCAATGAGTGTCAGTATTACCTCAGGAATAGTGGCAAGGTCTCTAGTTATACCCTCAAGTAAGAAGAGCCTTCTCTAAGAACTAGAAATATGATAGAAACTAAGGGTTTGTGTGTGGCAAAGATATTTCCTTGTTCTTATCCTGGACATATTATTTTCCTGAATCTTAATTTAACCAATTGTCAGGAAAAGGAAAATGTTGTGTGTGCGTGCTTGTGGTGGTGTGCCATGGAGTCAGTTCTTTACGGGAGCAGAAAGCCTCATCTTTCTCCCGTGGAACAGCTGGTAGTTTCAAACTAGCTAGACCTTGAGGTTAGAAACCCAGACTTGTAACCACTGGGGGTGTAATAATAATTACCCACCATCCATCCATCCAGTTTGTCATACTGTGGTGGCTTGTAGGTTACTCTAATGCTCAGATACTAGCAGGGTCACTCATGGTGGACAGGTTTCGGTGGGAATTCCATAGTAAGGCAGGCTAGGAAGAAGGCCTAGTAATCTACTTCCAAAAATACATTACAGAGAGGGAACAAATCCTTACAGCAAGAATCATTCCCACCCCCTCCAAACACAGAGTAGACAGGGATGGGCAACTAGGACATTGGCTACCCAAAATGGTGGTGGGGGGAAGGGGGCTACAAAGGTAAAAAGTGACTGGCTTACAAGCTTTCAAGAGGGAACCTAGAGCCAGGGGGCATGGAGGAAGGCAGAATCTCCAGTGAGTACTATCCAATCTGTCTAGGCAGAGCTCATGAAATGAAATGCAATGGGTCTCTTGTGATATCATAGTGAATAATTGTTATCAGGACTGATTGTGAGGGTTCGAAATGTAAAGGTAGACATTTTATAGCAAGGAAGGGAGTAATTAACTTTCCAGTCTAGGAGCAGAGGTCCCTAGGACTATCAATGGAGAAGAGCTGAGAGTGGGACCCTACCCAGAGAAGCAGCGATGCCTGAGATGGAGGCAGAGACGATGACGTGGAGCGATGGAGCAGCTGGGAACTTTAGATCCAGAGAGGGAGAGCCACTGTGTGCTGAAGACTGGGTGTGGGGAGGGGGTAGTGCAGGGGGCAGGCTTGCAGTGTATACCCTTTGGTTGGTTGATGATGCATGGAGGGGATTGGAACCATGGCAATGAAACAATATACATTAGAATGAATGTAAAACTAATGTTCTCCCATGTAAACTATCATATAATTCACAACAAAACATTTATATATAAAAAAAAAAAGTTACGGAAAGACAAGGCCTCCATGTTGGAAGACAACAATGGACTGAAACAGGTCAACAATCATGAAGACAGCAAAGAACAGGGTGACATTTCATCATGCTGTATGTAGGATGGTCATGAGTCAAAGCTGACTCAACAGCAACCAACAACAATAGTAATCGCAACGAACTTTGGCCAGATGGAGTGTTTTGGTCAGCTTCCACAGAATTATGAATGATATGGAAGACTAGTGGGATTCCCCTTTGCATTTACATTACTGGGGGGAAAATTGCATTTACATTACTGGGAAAACACATTTGTATACAGAAAATAAACCCATTCCTTTCAGTAATTATATTACTATTTGTCCTAGCTGCTGTGGTCTGTGTGACACTTCTCGACAGACTTGAATGTGACCAGATTACCATGCCCCATGATGTTCTGGTAGAGTACCAGAAACGACCTCAGCTCCTGATCTCCAAATTCATCAAGCAACAGCTTGGACTCTGTAGGACCCCTTCAGCCTTCCCTTGCAAGTCTGTAACCTAAATTGCAATGTTGAAGTCATATGAGGAGGTGAAGGACCCTGTGCCTGATCAACTGAATGGCATTGCAACTACCCCCAATTGGCACTGAATGGGGTCCTGCTTGAGCGTCTGGTCTCTAGAAAGCTTGGGTCTTTGTTACACCTGGAGACCCCCCCCACCCCCGTAATTCCAGGTTTCAGGAAAATCTCCATACTCCCCCCACCCCCCCGCCCATTGTAACTGTGTCCAGACCACATTGCCTTAAATACCCCAGTCTGTAAAAGAACAGATGGGCTCTTGGTCTCCTTTGGTGACCTAAAAGTACCCCCTCCCAGGTTTACTCTCAATAAACCTGCCTGCTGTTTGAAGCCAGAACTCTCTCTTCATCTCTTTGTCTCGTTTCCTTACATTTTGATGCCCAACGTGGGGCTCAGGAGAGTTACCTGAACCTCCATGGCTGATTCTGGGTTGCCTTCGCCCCTTCCCCACACCTCTTCTCGTCCTCTCCTCACGATCCTAAGGCTCGGTAGTCGGCGGAAGCTTGACGGGTGAATCCTTAGACGTGAGATTAACTTTTCCTTCTGAGACATTTCGGAGTTGTGAGCAAACCAAGTCCAATTGAGGAAGGTTGGTCGGGGTTACTCTCCTGTAACCTCTAAAGGGACTTGCAGTGTTCACAAATTTGGTCACCTGTCTGGGCGTTTGTCTCCCTTTTTCTCCTTCCTAACCTCTTGGCTCCAGCAGAACACAGGACCACTTTCCAGACTGACTCCAACCATCCACCACCGGCTGATTCCTCCCTAGTCGTTCCCTCAGGGAAGGTAAGTTGGCCTCCGGAAGTTTTCTCTAAAGTACCTAGAGAATGCCTCCTCCAGACCCCAGACATAAGGTCTTGGCAGGCTTTTTTCATATGTCTCAGACGCATGCCACACACCATTTGAACAATACAGGGGACGCTGTGGTTGTTCTTCTGGCTCTCCCTCCTGTCTCCGGCCTCGATATTTCTCTCCTTGGGATGCCCTATAGAGAAGCATCTTGTGCCCTGGTCACCCCCCTCTTACCTCTTCCTTTAACTGAACACAAAAATTGCGGGAACCCGTATCTCAAAAACAGAAAAAGAGACCCCATTACGGCTTCTCTTGTCAATTTAAAAAAAAAAAAAAAAAATGTCATTTACAATCTGAAATCAAACCGAAACAACTCTTTATGCTTTGCAAACAACACCTTCTATTATGGAATTCTCAGAGATCTAGAGAAATTACCTCCAACGGACTGGACAGTGGTCAGAGGTTCTCTTTGTCTAAGCCTTTTCTATCAATGGCCATAACTCTCTTATACATCTATTTTCCTTAAGTTTTAAATTTCCCATTCCAGTTAGCCCCATCTAAATTCCACCTTCTGGCAGAGGCCTTATCCTCCACTCAGCTAGCCCATTCTAAGCTCCACCCGCTCCCAAACCTGTCCTAGCTATTTAGCCAGCCTCTCCGTCACTTTTCTCAGTCTCTCTTTCTCCAGTGGACTGCGAGAGATTGCAGATTCAGTTCAGTAAGATTGTGAGGTTCTGACTGGGGCACACCTCAGTGACCTCTCAAAACTCCTGAACCTAGAATCTCTTTCTCCGACTGCTCATATATGAGTTGCCCGCTTTTCTCCTCTCTCTTCTTTCTTTCTCTCTCTCCCTCTGCAACTGACTATGAGGGATCCCAGACCCTTTCAAGAGGACTGCAAGGCCAGGCCAGGACACCCCCGGTGGTTATCAAAACTCTTGTAAAGTCCTTTTCCCCAACCGCTCACGTCCAAGAAGTCCGGTTTTTCTTCTACATGGCTCCAGATCTCAGAGGCCATTCTGCCAAATCTTTCCTCATCCAACTCTGGTCACAAATTCCTGGGTCTAGATAAGTCAGCCCCCGGCACCTTCTCCTGAGGATCCCAGGAGATTCTACCTTGTCCCCTGATCCTCCGAGGATCACTTGGACTCCCCTGGCAGAGGGAGCGGGGAAGCCCATAACTCTCTCCAGGTCACCCAGTCCGACAGTCGGACCTCCAGTATCTCCCTTCTTACCAGTGGGAAGGTAGATACCGCCTTCGGCAGTGACTCCTTGACCCACCCAAACCAGGAGCTGGGGCTTTACAAACCACCTCCTCCCCTCTAGACTGTTTTGTGAATAACCTAAAGATATTACATCTAACAGAAACCAATCCAAAAAATTACTGATTGATTTTTGCAATACAGCCTGCTTGCAATTAGTCAGTGGCCAGAAAACAGCAATTTTGACTTCCAAATTTTCAGAGACATTGACAACTTTTATAAAGAAATGGCAAGATGGCAGGTTCCCCACTTCCAAGCCTTTTTCCCTCCACTTTCACCCCTCCCCTTGCTCAGCTCACCAAATTAACCTGAATCCTCCTGAATCTCCCTTTGATCCTGGAAATGAACATCTCCCACCTTATCGCCGCCCCCACTCCCCTGAACCTTCTTCCCCCTCAGCTCCTTCCACTCCTCAGTCCTCCCACCCTCCTCTAGCTCCACCCCCACCTCCACCCTAACCCCCTGCATACCCAGATTACACAAATCAGAATAATTCCTCGACCTCCCCCTCCCAGTAACAAGATCAAAAGGATCCCTAACCCTTTTTCCTCTCAGAGAAGTTGCCTGCTATGAGGGCCCCACCCGTATCCATGTCCCCTTTTCCCTCTCTGATCTCTCTCAAATTGAGAATAGGCTAGGTAGGATCTTTCAGCGAAAACCCAGCAAAATTTAGAAAAGAATTTCTCCATCTTTCACAGACTTTTTCCCTGACCTGGCAGGATGTCTATATCATCCTCAATAGCACGGTAACAAGAGGAGAGAAAGATTTCATCTGGAGGGCGGCAGAAGCATATGCTGATGATATCCATGACCAAGCCCCTACCCGCTACCCTATAGCACAGGAAGCAGTCCCCCGAACTGATCCAGGGTGGGATTATCAGACTCCAGATGATGGACCCGCCAAACTAGAACATATGATCTCCTGCCTAGCAAATGGTATGGACAAACATGCCCATAAGGCAGTTAATTATGAAAAGTTAAAAAAAATAACTACAGGGTCAGAAGAAAAACCCCACCCCTTTCTTCTCCGGCTTAACTGAAGCAATGACTAAATATACCAAACTTGACCCTGAGTCACCAGAAGGAAGAAATTACCTCCATCTCCAATTTATTTCCCAATCAGCATCAGATATTAGAAAGAAATTACAAAGATTAGAATGAGGGCCCCAAACCCCTCGGGGGGAGCTTCTTGACACTGCCTTTAAAGTCTTCAGTAATACAGAGGAAGAAAAAAGGGCAGAGAAAGAAAGACACCTCCAGCGAAAAATTCACCTGCAGATGCTGGCCTCCATCCATAACCCTATCAAGGGACACAGGCTGTCAACCCCCCAGGAAAGTGTTTCCGGTGTGGAAATGAAAGCCACTGGGCAAAAGCATGCCCTAAACCCAGCCAGCCTGCATGAAGACCTTAGTCAGTGCAGCAATCCTTACTAATGAGGCATGTCCAACCTGTGGACAACGGGGGCATTGGAAGATGGACTGTCCTACACAGAGGCTGTCCCTCAGAACAGGAGTCCCTCCCAAAACACTGAAAATGGCCTGGCGTCCCTTCTGCCACTAACTGAGCAATGACGTGGCCTGTAATCTCATAGCCTCCCATGTCCCCGAGTTCCGGGTAAAAGGGAGTGTCGCTGGAAAGACAATCTTTTTCCTACTTAACACCGGGGGGAGGGGGGACACAGCCTATCTGTTCTAACTGAATTTTCTGGGGCGCTTTCTCCTTCACCGAAGATAGTAATAGGTATGAAAAGACTCTGAAACCACCCTCCAAGAACCCTCAATGTCCTGCAATTCCAAGGATTATCATTTACCCATTCCTTCCCCCTTATTAGGACAAGACATCCTACAAAAATTAGGAACAACCCTCTATTTCACTCGACTAAGCCCCTCCTACCCCTATATCCTATTTTGCAACTCCCAAATACTCCCGAACACAATAGAACCCCCTTTACCTGGGGTCAACACTGTAGTCTGGGACACCAACACCCCAGTAATAGCAGCACATCATTCACCTGTAGTCATCTTGCTGAAAGATCCTCAAGCTTATATATCTGTCCCCCAGTACCCTATATCCCCCAAGGCCCTATGTGGCTTAAAACCTATCATTACCCACCTCCTAAAGGCCCATCTCCTTATCCCTATCAACTACCCCCCACAAGACCCCCATCTTACCTGTAAAACAAAATTCAGGATTTACGCCGTGTCAATGCAGCCAAATCCCCACCCACGCAGTTGTACCTAACCCTTACACTATTCTCAACCATATCCTTCCTGACATTACTGATTTTTCAGTACTGGACCTAAAAGATGCTTTCTTTTCCATTCTTATATCACCTGAGTCTGAACCCCTATTTGCCTTTACCTGGACAGACCCTGACACCTATATAAGTCAACAGATGACCTGGACTATATTAGCCCAAGGTTTTCGGGACAGCCCCCATTATTTTGGCCAAGCCCTCCAAAAGGACTTATAGACACTTAACCTAAAGCCCAGTATTATTCTCCAACATGTTGATGACTTATTGTTATGCTCTCCCTCCTTGTCCTTCTCCCTCTAGCATACCACCCAGTTATTAAATCATAGCATAGTGGGGCTATCGGGTGTCCAAACACTAAGCCCAAATAACAGAGTAACTTACCAAGGCCTCTCCCTAACATCAACCACTAGAGGAATCCCAGAAGATCAAAAAAAAAAACTAGCAAAAGCCATTCCCCTTCCCGAAACAAAAACACAACTCCAGTCTTTCCTAGGCCTAGCTGGCTATTTCCCCATCTGGGTTCCAGACTTTGCACTAATTGCAAAACCCCTATACCAACTTATAAAAATAGAATCCCCAGAAATTATACTTAATTCATGAGACACAATCAATGCCTTTAACCTCTGAAAACAAGCATTAACTGAAGCCCCTTCTCTCAACATCCCTAATTATAACAAGTCCTTCTTTCTTTATGTCAGCACAAAACAGAACCAAGCCCTAAGACTCTCAGCATAAACAGCAGGGGATACACCACTGCCTATAGCTTATCTCTCCAAGCAACTAGACTCTGTATACCAAGGATGGCCAGTCTGCATGAAGACCTTAGCCAGCGCAGCAATCCTCACTACTGAGGTACAAAAATTCACCCTATACCAACTATTAGCCATCTTCTCCTCACATAACCTACAAGATATGATTAGCTGCAAAGCACTCTCTTCAATCTCTGACTCATGACTTCAATCCCTTTAGGCCACCCTTATGCACCCAGGCATCACCTTAAAAAAAAGTCCCTCTCTTAATTTAGCTACTCTTTACTCCCAACTGAGAACCCCCAAACAGACACAGATGACCATGACTGTCTACAGATCATTAGCCACACTCAAACAATCTACCATCACTTCCTAGACTCTCCCATCCTAGAGGCCCCTAACTGGTTAATAGATGGAAGCTCCACTAAATCTCCATCCCCAAAAGCAGGATATACCATTATCAAGCCCCCCCCCCACCTCACTCAGACAGTCAGACATGGTCTCCACCAAGTTGAAGCCTTACCCCTCCCACCAGGGACCACATCCCAACAGGCCGAACTCATAGCTTTGATAAGAGCCCTTACCCTAGCTAAAAACCAACAAGTTAACATATTTACAGATTCAAAATACATATTTAACATCCTCCACTCAAATGCACAGCTTTGGACTGAAAGAGGACTCTTAACTGCATGAGGCACTCACATAATAAATGCAAAATTAATTAACAGACTATTAGAAGCAGCCCTCCTACCTTCAAAGATAGCCCTACTCCACTGCCACAGTCATCAAAACGATTCCAGCTACACCTCTGAATAGAATCGGCAAGAAGACAGCCTAGCCAAATCATCTGCAGCCTACAACTCCAACACACCAACCCAGAGTACCCAAGCAATAACAATTTTCCAACTAGCTCTCATCGACCCCCACCCCCACCCCCAGCACATACTCACTAAAAGAACAAGACTCCTACTCTTCCAACCTTCAAGCCACCTTTATCAAACCCTACTGGTATATACAAGGAAAACTAGTCATACCCCAAATTGACAAACACCAATTTCTAAAGGAAATTCACAGCCTCACACATACCAGTGCTTTGCCTTTGACCCATTTTCTTAAAACACATATCTATTATACACTAGATATCCACACTGTGTTCCAATCCCTCAGCCTTTCCTGACAAATATTCCAGACAACCACACCCCAAACAAATCTCCATCCTCATAGGCTTCCCACTCACCAGTTCAGAGGCCACTTGCCAGGACAAGATTGGCAAGTTGACTTCACACACATGCCTACAGTGAGAAAAGTTAAATATCTTCTAGTATTTGTAGATACCTTTTCTGGGTGGGTTGAAGCCTTCCCCACTACCAATAAATTAACTTCCACAGTCTCGAAAATCCTAATCTCAGAAATTATCCCACGTTTAGGAGTCCCCACCTCTCTTCAATCTGACAATGGAAAGAAATGTATCTCAGAAGTCACCCAACACACAGCCCGAGCCCTAGATATATCCTGGAAATTACATATTCCTTATCGCCCCCAGTCATCAGGAAAGGTTGAGCGAATGAATCACACTCTAAAAGAAACCATAACAAAACTAGCCAAAACCTTAACAAAAAGTACCCAAAAGGATTGGATAACTCTTTTATCCCTTGCACTCCTAAAAATAAACCCTTTTCCTAAGCCACTTTGAATTAGTTTATGGTCACTAGCCCCATTCTTAGGTCCTCAAGAAACCTTACCCATGACCATTCCCCTCCACTCATTACCCCACTTTTGTACACAGTCTGGTCAATCCTGTGGAAATATGCCAACGACCACCTGCCAACTTCCAAATCTAATCTTCCAATAACCCTTAACCCCAGAGACCAAGTTCTCCTGAAAACAAAAAAAACCTTCCCTTTTACAACCAAAATGGGAAGGCCCCTATACAGTTATCTTAGTCACACCCACTGTGGCCAAGCTAAAAGGAAAAACTGCATGGTATCATTTAGCTTCCCTAAAGAAACTCCCTGATCTATCTCGCTCCCAGGACCATCTTGACCACCTCCAATTAACTGACAAATGCTCTGACCAGCATGAATACTACTGACTGTTTTCCCCAGCTATAAAAGTTTCTGCATCTCCTGTGCTGTCTACATCTCCAACCCAGCCTGCTGTCTATTTCCATATTTAGGAGCCATCATAGGAACCCTTGTTCTCTGTTTTATTCTATCTATATTTTTTACTCCTGACTTCCCCGAACACCACATGAGTCTCCAGTCTCCCAATTTACAACCTTTATCAGTGACCTCTTACCTGACTTTTGCATACCAGACTTTCCCTTTCTAACTCTTGACTCATTTTTACAGCAGATCCAGGAATTATAGCACCAAGGCACCTTTCTCTCCTTCACCCCCACCCAAATATCCTTCTCACTCTCTTTACTCTTCATCTTGTTCTAACCAACCCTCATCCATCACCAATTCAACATTTAGTAAACCTATTACTGGTAGCATAGTGGTTACGAATCGGGCTGGGAACCGCAAGGTCAGCAGTTCGAAACTACCAGCTATTCCGCGGGAGAAAGATGAGGCTTTCTGTTCCCGTAAAGATTTGCAGCCTTGGAAACCCTGTACAGGGTCGCTATGAGTCAGAACCGACTCCATGGCACATAACAACAGCAACAACATTCAACATATATTTTTAAATAAACACCCCCTTGAGCCGAAACACACATGCCTTGCAATTTATCTCTCTACTTGTCAGCCTAGAAATAGCAGCAGGTGTAGGAACTGGAGCAACAGGGATTTCAGTCTCTTTCCTTCTCTCTAGGAGAAAGTTTGTATGAAATATCTCTATAACTATCCCAAATTCAAGATCAGATTGACACCCTAGCAGGAGCAGTTCTCAAATCAAAAAGTACTAGACTTACTTACAGCCAAAAAGGAGGCAGCTGCATATTTTTCAATGAGGAATACTGTTTTTGTGTGTGTGAACAAATCAGGCCTAGTCCGAGATGGTATAAGGAGATTGAAAGAAAAAGCAGCAAGGCTGAATCCCAACAAGTTTCCAAGCTCCTGGCTCACCCAAAATACCCTCTCTTGGTTATTACCCTTCCTAGGACTCCTCCTCCTCCTTTGTCTGAGAGCTGTATTCCTGCCTTTTATAATAAATTCTTTCCAAAGATTTCTTGTAGGCGACTCACTGCCATTGTGAAAGATTAGGTGGCAACCACTCTTCTGTTACAGATTTACCCCATCTACGCCCCATAAATCAGCAGGAAGCAGTCAAAGAGACACATCTGCCCTAATCCCCCTAACACCAAGAGTCTGGAATGAAGGACCCTGTGCCTGATCAGTGGAATGGCAGTGTTCTTTGTTACATCTGAAGATGCCCCCCTACCCCTGTAATTCCAGGTTTCAGGAAAATATCCATGCCCCTGCCCATTGTAACTGTATCCAGACCCCACCACCTTAAATACCCCAGTATGTAAGAGAACAGACGGGCTCTTGGTCTCCTTTGGTGACTTAAGAGTATCCCCTCCCAGGTTTACTCTCAATAAACCTGCCTGCTGTTTGAAGCCAAGACTCTCTTCTTCGTCTCTTTCTTTCTTTTATTTACAGGGGGCTTCAAAATGTTTGTGGGAAAATTCCATTATCTTTTAATTCCCTATTTCCATGAATTTTTTGAAGCCCTCTTGTGTGGCATTTTCATCTACATACTAAATTTATAATGGAATGATTTTTAGAAAGCTCCTTTGCATTGAAATAACAATTTTTTTGTGAATAGTTTCAAGTACACATTAAATCAGTTTAATAATTTTTTCAAATCCTGGATGGTGGCATTTGGAGTTCCATGTGCAACATTAAGCTCACATCAAAATAAATCAACTACTGGTAGATACTGTTACCAGTCACTCTCTTTCTGAAACCAATCCAGAAATTCATTTTAGAACATTGTCAGGCACTTCTAGGTGTTGGACAAGTGACAAAAATTGATCATCCACATTCAAAATACTTATAGAAAGAGTGTCAGAGGAATGTAGATCTTGTGGAAAAGTCCTATGTGACCAGACATCTTTTTCCGCTGCTTGATTTCAGGGCATCTCAGAACAGATTGGAGGCTTCTATATTTGCCTATATTTGTGATTTTATCACAGAATAGAACCGCTCTGGGTTGCACATTTATTTTCAAATGAAAATCATCAGTAATACAAAGAGAGAGCCTCATGTTTCTTCGGAAACCACAATTGCCTTCTAGCATTTTCTTTCTTTCTTTCTTTTTCTATTAAGAAAATGTGTTTTGGAGGCGGTTATTTTTTTTTTAATTTCATTTCATTAGTAATTGAATTCAGACTTGAGCTCAAGTTGTTACAGTTGTCATTTTGTGTGACTTTGTGACAGGTCCTTGTTCAGACCCTGCCTATACCCCTATCCAGTTTGACCATCTGGGAGACATGGTGTCACTTACTGGCTACAATAAATT